CTCGCCCTGGTTGTGCAGGGTGGGAGCTCAGCCTGCCTTCCCCAGCGCCGACGGGCTGGCGTGAGGCTTCGTACCGCTCCTCTTCCGTCAAAACGAGCTGATGGAGCAGCACGGGCAGCTGGGCCCAGAATGCCTTAAGCTTTGAATTTTTTATTTTATTTTTTTTAAAACTGCCCAGCTCAAAGTGAGACAGGCAGGTGATGCTAGCCCGGAACGCAACCAGAGGGAAGGGTGAGCTGGGAGGGCGCTTGTTCAGGGCTGCTCAAAGTCCTCACTCGCCTCGGTCACTTGCCGGTGTGTGCTGAGAAACAGCTCCCAAAAAATGAGGCAGGTCCTGCCGGATCCCTGCTGGTTTTGGGGCAGCTTTCTCAAGTGAAGCTCGTTTAGACAACAGCTGGGAAATTGAAACTCCCCTTTCCGGGGACGGGTGCTCCTTAAGCAAGTGATGCTCTTGCTTTTTGGTCCCCCAGACCACGGGCTGGTTTCGAGACGCTGAGCAGTGACATCCCGAATCGGGAAACCGAAGTTGCGATGTAATAAAGAAAATGCGGAACTCTTGGAGGAGAAAAAAAATTAAACCTGTCACCACTATGGGTATAGCTTATATAGCACTTTTCGTTCTAAAGCACTTAATACAAAATAGGCACCTAATTGTATCCGTAATGCCACGTTAGGGGTCTTTTTAGTGAACAATTAACACGTTATGCACGTGTCTTCTAGGAAGGAGTGGGGGGAATGGGGAGGTTGGCTCAATTTCTTTTTTTTCCACATGCCGTAAACGACTGAGAAGGGCAAGCGCTGGAGCAGGAGGGTTCGAAATGTCTCTCCGGGGTTCCCAAGAGCTCCCAAGCACCTGTGCAGGGCGCCGACCCGTCTCCCCACGCCTGGCACCCTTCCTCGGCTCCCGCTGAGGCGAGGAGGAGAAAAACCTGTTGGTTGTTTCTAAGAAGAGTCTGTTGGCGACGTGTCAGCGCGACACGGCGCTGTTGGTGATGTGTCAATACAAGAGCCCCGTCCGTTCCCTTCCCAAAGGCTGCGTCTCGTGGCTTTCGGTGGCGTCTGCGGGACGCTGCGGTGTGCTGGGGGGACAGCTTTGCGCGTCGGCGTTAGACTCGAGTTCTGCCGGTGCCAGGACTTCAGAGCTTTACGTTTCATCGGTAGCATTAACGTTAACCTCGGGCCGCCTACGCGGACGAGTGAAAGGCAGAACCTCGTGCACCCGGAACGTCTTTGTTGGGTGGATGGAGACGTCCGCGTTCTCCAGTTCTCTCCCCCCAGCATTAGCCGGTGTCTCCGTCCTGTCTGGTTTGTCCCCACACCTTCAGTCCTGGGGTTTTGTGCCAGCTCGACTGAGGAAGCGTGGCTGCAGGTTTCCGCCTGGCCCATGTGTGCCGTGCCAGCCGGCCGGGCGAGCGGGCTGTGGCGTCAGCAGTCTCCGCCGGATGGGAAAGACGCTTCGGCTGATACCACAAACCACCGGTGCTTTCTCACCATCCTGAAATGTGGTTCGCAGGAGTTTTCAGGGGTTTGCTACCTGCCAGCTTGAGATCTCCTTGACTCTCTGCTGCTGCCAGGACATTTTCCATTTCGTTCGGCGTAAAAATTCCAGCTCCCGAATCAAGGCTGGCTGTGCAATACCGGCAGAAGAGAAAATCAGGAAAGCTTTTTCGTTACCCGCGTTAAAATTGGGCTGAAATGTGTTTCACAACACAACCAGACTTTAGGACAGAACCTCAAGTCAGGGTAAGGAGGACAAATAGCAGGAGGAGCGACAAAGGCGGGTGGCTCCTGTCGTGTGGCTCCTTCCCAAAGTGTGGGAAAGGGACTGTTGGCAGAGCACGATGGAGCTGATAATCTCTCTGGGGGAAGGCGACGGAAGGACGAGCTTGTACTGAACAAATGACACTTTATAAAACTGTGATTTCATGAAATCAACGTTTTTGACCTGCATTTTCACAGGGGAAAAAAAAATATAAAAAATAAAGATGGGAAAAAAACACCCCGCATTTCCGTGTTCTCGTTGTTAGTGGTTTGGAACGTTGTCCCAGAGAACAAGCCATTCTTCACACCCGCTCTGGCTAAACTCGATGTGTTACCCTAGTTTTCAGGAGATGCGTTTCAGGGTATGAAGAGGCAGCAGCACTTCCTGAGAGATCTGAGCTAAATTATGCTGCATCTCCCTCTTATCACATCCCTTTTCCTCCCCCAAGTCCCTCTGCGGGCAGGGGGATTCGCTGTACCCGGGGGGCTGCCGAGCCTTGCTCTCCGCGGTGGGAAAAGCAGGTTTGGGAACCAGAGAGCCGAGGATGAGCAGGCAGAGCTTCGCCCACGCCGCCCAGCTCGTCCTTCTGCTCGCTGCTGGGGCAGGAGCCGTTTGTCTCCGTTCAGGTGGTGCCTTCCCAGTAAATCGGCGCCGTGGGCTGGCGCCACCGCCCGCGAGCAAGTCGGAGGAGTCACTTAAACCCAAACTGGAGTTGGAGGGGGTGTTTCTAGCAGATACCTATGTACTGTAACACAGAAATCAAATCGGTTGTTGGGAAAAAAGGGCCGCCTGTGTGGTAAGAAGCAGGACTGCCCCTTGGGAGAGGCGCAAGCGCTGGTTTTTCCCTTCTGTCCCCCCGTGGCACTCTTAGCCCTCGTGTTTTCACCCCTGAGGTCACGCCGGCCTGGAGGCTGCCAGTGCTGGAAGGAGCTGAGCGGAGCCCTGAATGACCCCCAGCTGCCGTCACGGGCAAGAAAATACATATTCTGCTTCAAAATGCTCCAAGGAGCGTGGTCACCGCTCCTGGCAGCAACTCCTCGTGCAGGAGGTCACACGGTGTTAGTGGAGCAAGAACCAGCAGCTCCTGCTTCCCTCCCTCCATCCCTGCATCCCTCCCTCCATCCTTACATCCCTCCCTCCATCCTTACATCCCTCCCTCCATCCCTGTTTCCCTCCCTCCATCCCTGCTTCCCTCCCTCCATCCCTGCATCCCTCCCTCCATCCCTGCTTCCCTCTCTCCATCC